AAAAAAAAAAAATGCTCATTTAAGATCTACCTATGAAATTGACAACAGCAATTCAAAAGATCTTAGATAAACCTTAGAGGTCAGCAAGTTCCTCTTAATAGGGAAAACAACGCAGAAAAGGCCAGGATGAATGGTTGCACATGCAAAGAATTTAGTCACTTTCGCAGAAATGTACCTGTAAAAACTTGAATCGGTGTTTTCACTATATATTTCCTCAAGAGCAATAGCAAAAATAGAAAAATCAAGGTAGTTATTTTTTTTAAGAGGCAAAGACCCAGTTATCATGAAGCTTGTTAACTATTGCTAAGAACCCTATGTCCTCACAGAAAACGATTTTGGCCTTTAGCCTGGATCCCCATGAAGTGACCCTGGGAGTAAGTGAGGTGTCTTTATCTGAAATCTTCAGACTGGACCTGGGGAGGTGTGCTAACAGCCCAGACCCTCAGGAGGCATGAGTAGCCTAACATGCATATGCAGTAAGGGTTCCATCAGGTTGGCTGATGAAAGCCCTGCCCATAGAGACTCAGAAGGACTCCTGGTTGGCAAAGGGAAGGTAATGCACCCTTTTTGGAATATGGAAGTTCCACCTTGGGAATCCTCCCAGACCTCACCTATATATTCGTCCTTATAACAATCCTAATGTGTATCCTTTTGCTTAGCCTAATCATATTACTTGCTGGGAATTCCATGAGTTATCCTAGTGAATTATCCAACCCAAAGCAGTAGGGGGAAGTGAGGAAACTCGGGGAAGTCCCCTGAGCTGATGGCTGGCATCTGTCCTGTAGGAACAGGGCGGGCAACTTCCAACATGTGACCAACAGGTCCAATGTTTGGGGTATCATGTGAACTCCCTAGACATGTGACTGGCATCTGCCTATTTAATAGTCTGGAGAATAATGTTCTCTTAAAAGTTGTGAAATCCACCCTAGCTTTGGGTAGACTGTGCTAGAAATAATGGAGAAATGAAAAAGTGGGCATTTGATTATTCTTTATATTCTAGTTCTTCCATGGCCATCCAAAACGTGCCCATCCTTTAATGTGACCTGTTCAGTCCTCCCACCACCCAGGCCAAGGCTGCTCTCCCTTCTACCATCTAAAGTATCTGGGAAGCCATGTACGGGGGACTGCAGTACACATCTTCTCCACAAGGCACAGACTTGGCCTTAAGCTGCCTCCCATGAGTAATGGGAAGATGACTGGCCAAAATCAGAACTGAATTCCCGTCTCCGTGCTACCATCCGGGTCAATTCATTTCTTCGTTTGTAATGTGGGAACATCGTTACCCGTTTCAGTGATGTGCTTTATTGAATGTATGACAACATTTTACAAAGGATTATACAAGTAGTACTCATCATGTATCTTCTGTCACCTAAGAAGGCCTCACGGAAATCTGGGACCTAGTAGGTGTTCAATGAAGATGAGATCGTTTGAACGGAATTGATTTGTAGCTTCCATTTCTCTTGCTTCTGATCGGCCTGTGGGCTTCTGAGGACGTAGAGAAACCTAACTCAGAATGCTGCCCAATGGTGAGGACCAAATGGGAAGGATGTGAAAGGATCTGGGAAGCCATAAATATCCAACTGCACTTGTTCTTGGGAAACCTCCTGGTACCCCTGCCCCCATTGTAGAGGGCTGGTAACGTCAGGGGGTACTGGGTGTCCGTCCTTCCAAGTCCTTGATCCTTTCTTTAAGGAAGAAACTTTTCCCGGTCTGGGCTTTCACTCTGTTCTAAGTGCCTGTGTCCACGATGGGACGTTCACCCTCATCAGTCCACGCCTCTCATTGCAGCACCCGTACCCCACGGAGGATGAGAAAAGGCAGATTGCAGCCCAAACAAACCTTACCCTCCTGCAAGTAAATAACTGGTGAGTAGCATCACTTGCCCCAAAGCTCTTAGATTCAGTGGTCGCTCCCTTGGCAGGGAGACAAGACTAGCTTGCCCAGTGCCCCCTGAGCCCCATCCCAACTGTCACACCAGGCCTCCCCTTGGAACCAGAAGCACAGCTTCTCAGCACCTTTTGTTGGGAAATCGGGTCACAAATGTCCCTGGAAGCTGCTCGCTGAGTAGAAAACCCAGAGCGACACCCCCCACCACCACCAGCTCCAGCCCCTCCCAACCCTTCACCCCTGCCCTGCCCGGCTGAAACAGACTTGATTTCCGGGTCAGTTCACTGGAGGGGCTGCCAGTGGCCATTTATCGACAGCCCTCCCCACTAAGATGGAATGTGCACCAACTAAAACATTCTGCAAAGCTGGAGTGGGAGGAGAGGGAAAGAATGGGCCCTTCTGACCCCACAGGGATTTCAACTACTATCCTATTCTCTGTGTCTGGCTGGGCTGCCAGAGATAGAAAGTTCAGACGATCCACTGTGAACTGAGAGAACTCACAGAGCCCCTTGGTTTTCTGGAGAGAAGTCAGAGGTTGGCACCAGGTGGGTCTGGGGCAGGTCTGTGACCCCCAGCCCTGTGCATTCTTGCTACTTGGAGGTCACCACAGCCTGGCTGACTTCTTGAGTGCCTCCTGGCCAAGGGGATTCCCCATGCTCTTTTAGACCCTAGATCAGAACCCCAGTTGGACCTCAATGACGGAAGAATAGATTGGTCTTAGAGAGTCTAAAACAGCTTAGACCTCTGGATCCATCCCTATCTCCCCAGCCCTGTTAACCTTCGCTTCCACATCACCACCTAATTTTTTTTTGAACCATTCTATTGGGGGCTCATACAACTCATCACAATCCATCCATACGTCCATTGTGTCAAGTACTTTTGTACGTTTGTTGCCACCATCATTCTCAAAACATTTGCTTTCTAGTTGAGCCATTGGTATCAGCTCATTTTCCCCCTCCCTCCCCAGTCCCTTCTCCCCCATGAGCCTTTGATAATTTATAAATTATTATTATTTTGTCATATCTTACACCATCCGACGTCTCCCTTCACCCGCTTCTCCGCTGTCTGTCCCCCAGGGAGGAGGTTATATGTAGATCTTTGTAATCTGTTCCCAGTTTCTCCCTCACTTCCTTCCACCCTCCCAGTATTGCCACTCTCACCACTGGTCCTGAGGGGATCATCTGTCCTGGATTCCCCATGTTTTCAGTTCCTATCTGTACCTAATCGGTAACCAACCAGATCTCCACCTTTAAACAATGCCTCCTCACATACCTTGCAGGTTCATCAACGCCCGGAGGCGCATCCTGCAGCCCATGCTTGACGCCAGCAACCCAGACCCTGCCCCTAAAGCCAAGAAGATCAAATCACAACACCGACCCACCCAAAGATTCTGGCCCAACTCCATTGCTGCAGGGGTGCTCCAGCAACAGGGTGCCCCAGGCACAAATCCTGATGGTAAGAACTGGGACTGAGTAGTGTAGGCTGGATGAGGGTTGGATGGAGGGCTTTCTGGCACTTACTCAACGTGTAAGTCTGAGTTGACTAGAGAAACAATTTCGTAGACACTTGTGTGTATAAGAAAGAGCTTTATATACAACAGCAATTGAATATTGAGAAAACATCCCAGCCCAATCCAGGTCAAGTCCCTAAGTCCGACATTAGCCCATATGTCCAAAACCAATCTATAAATTCCTCTTCAGACTCACAAAACACATGCAATGTTTCTGGATGCAGGAAGATTACAGCCCAGTGGGTGGAAAGTCTTGTGGACCCAGTGGCAGTGGAAACATCTCAGCACCCGCAGGGGTCTCCACGTGGCTCCTTCAGCTCTTGGACTCTAGTGTAGCTCCATGTGTCTTGTCCACTGGAAGGTCTCACAGGGAGTGAGCATGTGTCCTGCCTCCAGCAAGTTATCTCCTTAGCGCCTCCAAATGAGGTCATCAAGCTGCAACCTGAGTAACAGGCCAAACTCCACCCCTTCACTCCTAAGTCTCAAATTGACAACAGATCATGTAACTACCACACTCAATATAGGTTGTCATTCAAGGGATCACATCTATTCACTTGAATCTGAACCCCAACTCATTCACAATAATTAATCAAAGGATGTTCCTATGCCTTAAAGAATGAGATGGTTGTAGGTACTTTGACAAGCCAAGGCAACCTCCCAAAAGGGTGGGAGTGGTTGGTCCTCTGAGTCAGTGACTGCTCAGAAGAACCCCTCCTCACTCTCGAAATTTCCCCAAGTTTCTTATCATTTCCTTATGTCTAAACAGCTCTTCAGGAGCCCAGGCTATTTATACATACCAAGACAGGCAGCTGGCTTGTGAACTAAGGCCAGGGAGAGCTGTTTTCCCTGCTTCCACATCACACCCTCCAAATACACTTCTAATTGCTAGTCGCCTAGTGCACAATGAATAATTCAATGAGCCAGGCATTTTACAGCTTGGCATGTGAAGATAGGCACTCTGGATGGGGAGCGGGCTGAAGGAGGCCACATGTCCATGCATACCTGTATCTCTATGGTTGTGTACCTGTGTGATGGGCATTCATCTTACAAGTTATAATGGCAAGAAACAGAGTGGAGACTGGACTCACTTGAGAGAGAATCTCAACTTGGGCATCACAGAGATTTGATTTGTCCTCTTTAAAATGGGGACACTCATACCCGCCTTACAAGAGTGTTAAGAAGTCATACGTACTTGAGCTGTTTCCATAGAAGATGCTTGGCACAAAATGGCCAGGATTGCTACTGCTTGGGTTGGACAGAGAGTTGCAGGGAAGGAATGGAAGGGAGACTTCATACTAGGGAATTTTAGCTTTTAGACAGTCCCCCTTAGAAACAGTGAGCTCCCCATCCATTCCCACTCAATCCAACACTGAGGTTCCCAGGCCTGATTGAGCCTCTGCTATCCTGACTTCTCTCTTATCTCTCCTATCTCATGTAGGTTCCATCAGTTTGGACAACCTACAGTCCCTGTCCTCAGACAATGCCACCATGGCTATGCAGCAGGCTATGATGGTTGCACACGATGACTCATTGGATGGGACAGAAGAAGAGGATGAAGATGAGATAGAAGAGGAGGAGGAGGAGGAGGAGGAGCTGGAGGAGGATGCAGACGAGCTACAGACAACAAATGTCAGTGACCTGGCCTTGGAACACCGTGACTCCCTGGAGTAGCCCCACAGCCCATTTGACACTGATCACCGAGCAGGAGAGGGGTGTGTCATCAGGAGGCTTCAGGTGGGGGGCACGTCATGGGCAGGGAGCACCGGAGGAAGCTGGACTCTAGCCTCGGCCAATCAGCAGCTTGGAGGACTGAATGCAGCAGAGATACTTTCCTCCTTCCGTCCACCAAGCGTCAAGGAGTGCCCTCACCTCAGACTGCTGGGCCTTTGTCCCACGGGCCCATCAAGCAGCCGGTCGGAGAGACAGGAGGGAAATGAGACTTACCCCATCCCCAGGGAGCGAGGGAACCCATGGGCACTCCCATAGAAGGACTGGAGTTGTTTACAAGCCCTGCACTGTGAGGGGATCAATGCTGTTTTGATGAGGGCAGCACTGGAAAGAACGAGGAAGGCCGAAGGGACCGAGGTTCTGCTCTCAGAAGATTTTCAGCCCCTTTGAGTGTCATTCAAGGGCAGCAGGAAGCCCCAAATCATAATCAGAGGTTGGGCAGGGGGATAGCCTGCGGGAATCACGTCTTGCGATCAGAGTGAGATCTGGTTTTCACAAGTTTCTGCTGACTCCTCCAAGATGGTATTTCTGGGCCCGGGCAACCAGGTACTTTGGAGGGACGGGAGGGAACCAACAGAGCCTCCTCCTTTCTCTCCTGGAAAGTGATTGCCAGCTGTTGAGTTCGGACTAAGAGGAGGTCTTTTACTTGGGTTGGTTCCAGGACCCCAAGCGATGGCAGGATTGGGAACCAGAACAAACGGACCCTAAGTAGTCACAGAACTCACCTCACATAACAACAGGACAATGGGGTCTTCCCCCGGGGAGGTGTCCCAGCCCTCAAAAGGAGCTGATAGGCCTTCTGACAGAGTGGAGCCAGGTGAATTTGAAATCTTCCCACCCTGGCTCCCAGGCTGATTCCATCAGCCTGCAACCTCCCTTTTGCATTCCATCCTTCAGAGAAGGCAGAAGAAACAGTGGAAAGACGGATCCCACCCAGTGAAAAGCCAGGGATTGGAGAAGGTCCCACATCCCGCTTCCAATCATTTCCCCAATGTGGAGGAGGGCCCAGAGGAGCGGCGCCCTGGAGCTGTGCCACCAGCCCACCCTGCCTTGCCATTCGACCCGCCATCGTTTTACAAACTACTGGAGGAACTGGGACTCCCACAGGAGAAGGCTTCCCATTTATCCGTGCTAACACATCTTCCCACTCCAGTTTCCAGCTCCCCCATTAGCACTCCCTCTTTTCCACCCTGCCCCCCAGGCCCCTCGCGCCCCTATGGCCGTGAATGGCAGGACAGACCACATGTGTGTTTTAATTGGGTTTAATTTAATGGGCTTGCCATTTCATTTGTAAATTGCGCATTAGCCTCTTCCTTCCGTGGCAAGATGTGAATAGCTTACCTGGTTCCACTTGAGGGGCTCCTCAGGGCCCACTGGGTTTTCCCCTCCCCCGCCAGGTGGACTGAGCAAGAGGAAGGTTGTTCTCCTGAGGTCTCCCCGAAATGAATGTATTCTCCCCAAAAGAGCTGATGTTTAACATTTTAATAGGGATTTTTGAGAAACAAAGGACCTTATTTATAACCTGGGTGATCCACTCATTTTTTTACTCCCTTTTGATGCCATAGGTAGAGGAAAGCCTGGCTTTTTTGTTTTTTGGCGTGAGACTTTTACAATGTGTAGTGGGATAAAATACATTTATTTCCTCTTCTGGTGAACTTTTCTTGTTCAAACACACAGACACCCCCACAAGCCCTCCCACTTACCGTTTCGGACAGGCATCCGCCGCCACTACAACACAGGTTTACCTGCGTCCACATACCCACCTCTCCCCTCCGGTCCTTCCACTTGCCTAATGTTATGCAACCTCCTTCTGATGTATCCACCAAACCAGTACTGAATGTGGCTGAAAAGTTTTCAGTAAACCTTATTACCTACCGCTTGCCTGTAGTTGCCGTAGCTTCTTTCGCGGGACAGAGACCATCTGGAAGTCTCAACATACTCGTTACTGACCTTACAAAGGACGGGGTCTCGGTGACCCCGGGGTAGAAAGGCACACACTGAACCTTTTGTGTGTGCAGCTTCAGCCTCCCAGACAAAGACACGGCAAGGTCCTATGCTGCCCTCTCCTGACGAGTTCCCCCTACAGCAGGGGATAGTCCTAAATGTCCACCTCCCTGAAATGCCTTTGCTTTTCTAGTTCCGTCCTAGACTCAGCGGGGTTCCATCAGGTAAGCTAGTGCCTCTACCTGCTTCTCGCCCTTAGGGGCCCGTCCTTTTCGTCCAGTGAAAGGAAAGGAGAGCAGATCGATTTACTCCCGGAGCTAGGGTTCCGAGGGGAGCCTGCCCTTTGGGTTCCAGGGTCCCATTTCTCTGGGGCAAAATGAAATCCAGGAGCAGGTGATCTCTTCTAATCAATAAGCAGGAGGCTTGCTTGTTACTCTCACACACTTTCAGACCCGGTCATCTGCTAAGGTTCCATGTTTAGAAGTAGGGGGACAACGAGTTCCTCGGTTGGTTTTTGGTTGGTTTTTTAAAAATATTTCATTGTGTATTCAGTGAAGGCTTACACAGAAACTTAGGATCCCATTCAACAGTTTCTACATGCGTTGTGTCAGCGACATTGGTTACATTCTTCAAAGTGAGTGAATATTCCCATTATATCTGGTTTGGTTGTTTCATTTCCATTAATCTAGTTTCCCTGTCCTCTTACCTTCTCATTTGGGTTTTAAAGTAATTTTTAATCATTTGGTCTCATAAAGGTGATCCGTAAAAGGATGGATATTATGTACTGGTGATACTCTTTTTGAGCAAATCTGTTATTTAGCTAAAAAATGACTTCAGGTGTTAGTTTCAGTTCAAGGTTTGAAAGAGTATCTCAGGGCAATAGTGTTGGGAAGTCCTCCAGTCTCAACCAATCCAGTCAGTCTGGTGGTTTTGTTATTGTTTTGCTTTAGGAATTTAAGGCTCTGTTTCACATTTCTTTCCATCTATTAAGGTCCATCTGTTGTGAAGCTGATTAGTAAGTAGTGGTAACTGGGAACCATCTAGGTCTTCTGGCCTCAAGGTAATGCAGTTCCTTATTTTTGTTTTCCTTCCTTCTCTTTCACATGAGACCAAAAGTTAGATGTTAGATGTTGGCTCAGAAACTTTTAAGAACCCAAACTCAACTCACCCAAGTGGGAGGGAGAACATAACTAACTTTATTAACTGTATTATGCCAATTGACCAAGAAGTCCCATGACACAAGGGAGTTCCTTGTTCACATTCACAAAGGTTGGAGAGGCCGCTCTGACCTGTGGAAACACTACAGCCAAGCTGCAGCTGCAGGTGAGATGGTCACAAAATGAAATGAGCCTCTGAACAGTTCTGATGAAGACTCCTGGGATGACTGCTTCCATAGAGCTCAACTTCGTCCCTCACACCTAGAGTGTTCCTTACAGGGCAACAGA